GGTTCCTTCTATATGTGGTTAGATTAGGTTTTTGTGCACAAACAATCTATTGAATTTTCATCGTTGGCCTCTATGGTAGAATCAGTCAGGGAGCCTGAGAGGCGGTGGTTTACCCTACGGCAGATGTCAGCGGTTTGAGTCTGCTTATCTCCAACTCATGAACTTATCCAGGAAAAGCATGAAAAAACAAAACGACTTGAATGATACGATCCCTCCATCACCCCAAAATGAGAGGGGTGATCTCGTAGTTCTTGATCTGTGAAGATGCAATGTTAGGTGTTACGTAACGTTTTACTTGCTGAACTTATGATTGATTACTAAATTTATACATCTATCACGCTTTACTCACTAAACTTTAAAATCTGTATGAGTAGTGACTGAACTTTAAGACATTGCATTTCGTTACTCACTCGCCATGTTTCAAGGGAAAAGAAGAATGTTATCTTCAAATTGACATAAATCTTAGATCATAATCTTCCTTTATATTGAGAAAATAAAATAGAAAAATTATTTATTTATTTTAATTGAGATTGTTGACTTAAATCAAGAAAATAAAAAATTACATCTTAAATAGGCAATAAAATTTTGAATTTAGAGTCAATAAATTAATAAATGGTAAAAAAATATAATTTTTAGAGCCAGCACAACGTGATTTAAGAGGAAAGAAGGGCATCATTTTCACGTATGATTTTTTTATATTTCAAAATTTCAATTTTTGAACAATTGAATTCAATGAGTAAAGTTCAATGACTACTCGGAAATATTTTAAAGTTCAGTAAATAAAACGTAACGAAACAGTGAATAAAGCGTGACGAATGTATAAGTTCAATGAGTAATGAAAATGGGGAATGAGTGATAGAATGCAATGTGTCACATTCCAGCGACCATTCGAAAACATTTTGAAATCCAGTGGACATGCATAAGTTATGAAACATCCAAATCCATAATAATGAATTGTGGTATAAATGAAATATTTTGTAAAATTCCAGGGTGAGTTTGAAATAAATTAAAGCTGTGGACGTTAGTGAGACCAACACATTTCTAAAGTGATAAAAGGAATGTAACTCTCAAAGCTGAAGTTCCTGCGGTTCCCAACAATGGCAGCTCTTAGCACCACTACTATTCTTACCAACAGAACCCGAATGGCTTTAGTTCCCCGTGCTGTCCTCGAAAACAAAATGCAGGTCTCTTACGAATTGAAGCAGTCACAGTCTCGCCTTTTCCATGAGCTTCCGTCTGGCCTGAAAATGGAGGTCATCTTCCAAAAAGGCCGAATTGACAAAGATGAGAAATCTCAAAATCCACCTTTGGTTTTCATTCATGGAAGCTTCCATGCAGCTTGGTGCTGGGCTGAACACTTTTTACCCTTCTTTTGTAAGCATGGTTTTGACTGTTATGCTCTCAGCTTGCTGGGTCAGGTACTCAGTACTCTTTTTCTTTCTTTCTTTTTATGGGCATTCAATTCCTTATCAGCTAAACCGCTTGTTAAAAATTGAACTGGTATTGTTAATTATGGCATATATTGTTGGAGCGGATTGTCATTGAAAGGAAACAAGAAAAAAAAATACTCTTTAGTATTTTCTCACAATTGCCCCAATATTAATATTTTAGCAACTTTTATTAAAGAAATGAACTTTATGTCTTATTGCTAATATCCTGCACCTTATAAACATTTTCAGGGGGAAAGTGAGGCACCTTCTGGTGCAGTTGCAGGCTCACTCCAGGTATTTCCACCCTGCTACTATTAACAACTTTTAAGGAGAGTGTTTGACTAAGCTTATAAGCAGTTGTTGACGGCTTAGGAGCAGCTTATAAGCTTTGCCAAACATGCTATAGATTAGAGAAAAAAAAGGATCAAAGAGTTTTACTTCTTAAGTTTTTGTTCATATCTTTTTCCATTGTTGATATGATATGCTTCTTAGCACCTCCTAAGCTGAAAAATTCATGTATGCAGTAGACCCATGCCAGTGATATTGCTGACTTCATCCAAAAACAAATTAATTTTCCCCCAGTGTTGCTGGGGCATTCTTTTGGAGGGCTTATTGTTCAGTACTATATTGCAAATATAGGAAATGAAAAATTACATGGTAAGTATTCTGTTTCAGGCTATTGATATACATAGTTAAGAAGGTGAAAGTAGGAATAGAGATTCCATAGATGTAAGGCCTTAATGACTAAGAACAGCTGATGTCATTTGTCCTTTCTATTTTCTGAGTACATAAAAAATTCTCAAATAACATATAATCCTCAAAAGTTTCTAAGAAATTACTATCTTTGTTATTTCAACTATGTGCATATAGCTTGGTATCTGCTTGAAGGCACAATTCTTTCATTGGCAATGAAATTTCTTTGTTTCATCTTGTGAAGAGGGTAGGATAAATATTTTGTGGATTTTCTAGTAACCGTTCATATTCCTCAGGTGAAGACATAAAATTCTCACATGAAAATTATTTCTGTAGCCCAATTAAAACAAGAAAAAGAAGAGAAAACAGTTCCATCCATTCATTTTGAGAAATATTTATTCAGGTTGATGTTTAAATATTGAAAATATTCACAAAGAGTTATGGTTGTATTGCAATGCTATAGAACCAGAATTATATTCAACCATTATACATGGTTCATGGATTTCCATAAAGATTTTACCCTACCTGGTCTTGATTCTAGAAAAGCAAGGCTTGCACCCATATCTTGCTGGAGCTGTGCTTGTTTGCTCAGTACCTCCTTCGGGTAATAGGTGACTCCCAATCCATGCGTACTGTAACTTTGTTTTCTATGTGGATTTCAGCTGACAAGTCTTCTTTTTCTTTATTCAGTGGGATTGTGTGGCGGTATCTCTTCTCCAAACCCGTTGCTGCCTTTAAGGTCAGAAGTTTTAGTTTGAAGAACAAATAACTGACATTTCTTCTGTGTTATGTTCTAGAGCATATATGGTGTGCGATACACCTGCACAAACTTCTTTACCAGCTTCAAAATAGAATATAGCTTCAGAAATTAAATGACCACCCGGATTTTTGCTTTTTGCGGATTTACAGAATTATGTCCACAAAAGAACTAACTGGTATTTTGAAATGTAATTTCAGTATATTACTTCATAACTCTCGAATGCACAAAATCCAGATTTCTCATCCTTCTTTGATGTGAAAATATTGATTGATAAGCCTTTCAGTATTTTTTGCCCCCCTTATGATAGATCTATTTACAGTGTATCCATTCTTGTAAACCTCACACGGTTGAAACTGTTAAAAATTTCATATATTGAGCAGATAACACGCAGCTTGGCAGCAAAAGCTTTTCAAACTTCTCTGCCACTTTGTAAGGAAACTTTCTTCTCTGCAGAAATGGAGAACCAAGTAGTCCTATGGTTAGTATATGAAAACCTCTAAACTTATTGCTTCTTAGACTTTCTGGATTGAATATATTTCAAACCATTCTGTAGTAATATATTTTGTGCATTATCTTGTCTTCACAATGGTATGTATCAAATGTATACGAGGAGTCAGCAAGACCTTTCGTATTTTGCTTCTACCAATATATCTACTTGGGAATACTGAATAAAAACAGAGGGGTTTGATTGCTGGGGGTGTTTGAATAATGAAATAGTGAATCAATTATATATACCACAGTTTAGATGTAAGAATTTTTTTTTTTATATTGAACTACTCTTTTGATGAAAAGATTCGAATCTTATTAGACATCATCATGAAACTTCCGCGGTGGAAACCTTGGGGACGAAAGTCTAAATTTGGGAGATGGCAGGGCAAGGATTACTCAAGAGAACACTTTTCTTATTTCTTGGATTGATTTTCATTGCATGCTTAGGATCACAAGCCTTTTATAGCCTCTACAAAACATGTGCCAACCTTTATTGCATACTTCCCCTTAAAATAATGCATGTGTATATATATCAAGTACATGAATTTACTATAGCCATGTTTCCATTTTTGCAAGATAAGAAAAAAAAATACCAATTGACAGTTTTTGATTCATTAGTCATTATCATTATAGACAAAACTAACGATGATAGAGTGACAGAGCTGTGGAGAATTGCCTTTAGTGGACTTCGATGATTGTTCAGATTCTTTTGAAGAGACTAGAGAGATATATGCTATACTCTTCTAAACAAAGCAGGGTCCTGTTTTCTTAATTGAAGTTGCAACTTAAGATAGGCCGATTTGACTTGTAGATCTTATATAGTTAGCTACATGTATCTTTAACTGGGAAACATGTATCACAACAATATATAAGTATTTAAAAGACATTCATGATACAACTCAAAATACATGAGAACTAACTCAACAATAAAATCAAGTTTATAGAAGGATCATGCTACATGTACCGAATTTTTTTACCGAATCTTTTACGTACTACTCACAATGGGACGGGGACCACATTGTCGGAATTTTTAAATACACGCGGGCCCTGCTCATTATGTGAGAGTGTATAATCCATTATATACAAATGGATTAACCCTTTATAGAAAGGCAAAGATTTCTTGGATTGACTTTATCACATGCCTAGGATCATTCCTTTTATAGCCTTTACAAAACATGTACCAACCATTATTGCATACTTCCCCTTAAAATAATTCATGTATGTATCAAGTGCATGAATTTACTATACCTAAGTTTCCATTTTTGCAAGATAAGAAAAAAAATACCAATTTACAATTTTTGATTCATTGGTAATTATCATCATAGACAACACTAACGAAGATAAGAGTGATAGCAGTGGAAAATCGCCTTTAGTGGACTTCGATGGTACTTTTGAAGAGACTTGAGAGAAATACGATTACCGAGTTGTACTATTTCAACAAAGCAAGTTCCCATTTTCTTAAGTAGAGTTGCAACTTAAGTTCGTTGGATCTGACTTCTAGGTCTTATATAGTTAGGTATATGGATCGTTTTTTTGAAACATAGCTAGATGTATCTTATAACTACGAAACGTGTATTATGTCAACATATAAGTATTTCAATAGACAAATTTGTTAAATAACTCAAAATACATGTACTAGCTCAACTATACAATCAAGTTCATTGCAGTGTTATAAAAGACGAGAAAAGGCACCCCTGAGTGTAATGCATTTTCAAAACTCCCAAGTATATGGCCACGTAGTGGAAAAAGACATTGAACTTTTGACCGACTAATGTGTCCCTGGGCCTTTTTTTTTTCTAATTTCTTTTGGATCATTTCTTGGACCTAATGACTAATGTGGGCATGGACCCTAAATTAGTGTGGACAATTTCTTGAGCCAATTCACCTCAAAAAGTGTCTTGTACTTCAATTTTCAATTGTAACTAGACATTTGTAGGATTTATTACGTAATTTTAGTATTTATGATTTAGTTGTTTTGTATGCATTGTTTTATTTATTTTATTACTCAAAAAGAATAATTAAAACAATATTAAAAATAAGAAAACTGTGTATTTAAGCTCGTAAAGCTTAAGGCTTGACCTTGCCTCTCCATGTGCTTTTAAAACAGTGCTATGAATCGGAAAAAAATGAATATGCTTCTTAAAATGTATTCCAAATATTCATTTCATGTGATTTGGTCAAGGTCTCGAGAAGTAACAACCAATGCACCAAAGAAAATAACAAATTTTGTCTCATTTAGTTAAAACAAGATTATTAGTTGGTGTAATGATTAAAGGTTAATGCTGAATGTCAATACCACTAGCTGAATCTATTGTTACTTGCATGCTATTGCAATGTTTTTCTTGATCAAAGAATGAAGGGATATTCTGTTTAGAACATTAGTAGAATCATCTTTTTTATGCCATATAGAATTTGGAAGTAGTTTTGTTGTTGCAAGTCTGTAATGGCACAAAGGTTTTTGTCTGGTTACACGAAATATGATTCCTCCTTTCTGTTTTACAATTAGAACAGAAGTCCATGTGCATATATAATAATACATTAGCTAACATAGTCCATTCTTCTGTGGTACCAAGTTTTAATGATGGTTTTCTTTGTTTTTTCATCAGTTACCAAAAACTGATGACAGAAAGTTCAAGGATGCCATTGTTTGATTTACGGAAGCTCAATGCATCACTCCCCACTCCTCCAGTGAAAGATTCTTCAATCAAAGTTCTTGTAGTGGGAGCTCAAGATGACTTCATAGTGGTAAAACTCAATACCCTGAGTGCTTGTGTGTGAAGAATCACAAAATGAAATTTTACTCATGAAACAAAAGAACCTCATTTCTTCTTTCGATCAATTCTGCTAGGATACCCTGAACTCGCATGCTTCGATTAATTTATGTTTTCTTTCGACTTCTAGCATCAATCTCTACTGCCATTTGTTGGCTTTTGCGACTGTCACATGTCAAGAATGAATACTCCACATATTCTTCTCTCTCACATTGGAATAGTCAAATCCATCCCGAACTTGAGTATCTATAGAGAGTATTTTCAGGGAGTCGCTGCAATTTCATTAGTCTTATTTGGTAAAAATGTTTTGCAAGTAATTTCTGGTTGCAATTGAGTAATTGGTACTCTTTCATATTCTCTGTTGTTGTGTTACAAAAATCGTCCCATCTCTATTCATGAATGTAGAGATCAAGCGCCTAACTATTGTTGAAGGATATTAAATTTACTGAGTGTGAATTTTGTAGGATGGCAAGGGACTAGAAGAAACAGGTACGTTTTATGGAGTGTCACCTGTTTGCATTGAAGGAGTTGCCCATGATATTATGCTGGATTGCTCATGGGAAAAAGGTGCCCAAGTGATACTATCATGGCTGAATCATTTGAAGAGATGAGACTTAAAAGCAAGATCCGGCATTATTATTGAGTGAACTTCATTTGAAATGTTGGAGCTGTTTGCTTAATGAAATTCATTTCTACTTTGCCGTTTGTCGTTACAAAATCAAGCCAAAAACTGCAAGTTTACATTAAAAAAAAAAAAAAGTTTAAGAAATAGGGGGCAGATCACCACCAATTATTGCTAAAATTGGTTTGAAGTTTAGCTGATACATGAGATTGGCCAGCAGATGATCACAACTGAGCTCCTCAGGAATCCAAAAATGGCCAATGAGGGGGATAATGCGACATTACAGTAATCGACCGAATGGGAGAAACTCCATAGGAACAGTTATAGTGCACGGAACAAAAAATATGGTGGAGAAAAGTAATCCTTCAAATGTAGCTCAAGAGCATACAACATTTGCACAATTCATTGAAATCCATTGAAAAGACAGAAAATGACAACTAATGTTGTAATAGATAAATAATGCAGAAATAACAGAATTCTCCATCATGCTAATGTTCATGTTACAATCCCCTTTGATAGAAATTATTCCCATCCTGCAACTCAAACTGCACAAAGAACTCGGCAAGGGACTGCTTAACCTGCATTGAATTTAACTGATTATCACTAAAGTGACTAAATTGACTAGGAATATTTCATGGATGGTGAAAGACAAGAAGTTAAAAGTGAAAACATATAAGCAATTAAAATAATTTTCTCCGAATCACGAAATTGGTAAGCAAGAAACTATACCTGACAGTGGATATCAACTGAGGCATCATCACTTCTTTTCCTCTTCTTTCGATGCTTTGTCTTCATCCTTGCTCTGCTGGGACTAAATCAATAAAATACAGATCAAGACTACAAGAGGATACGGCTTAAGAGCATCTCCAAGAAACTCTCTATTTACAAAGACTTATATAAGAGAGAGCAGCTTTAAATTTACAGAGAAAATTAATTTTATATACTCCAATAATACTCTCTATTTTGGCTCTTCATATGACTATTGAACAAGGAAAAAAGATTTCTGTTGCTAAATATTTTACCAAGTTGACATAGATATTCCCCATGATTACAATAAGAGATTGATGTGAAACTATCAGTCCCCATAGAACTTGTGTGTTTTCCCCCTCTCATAAAACATGTCAATAGATGTAAAGTTATAAGTCAGAAGAATGCGGCCTTAATAAATCTTTCAGCTAGGTTATTGTGCCTGAGAAAGGTATATAATGTATTCAAAACAATGTTAGGAGGATCAAAATAAGTACATTATATGTTAGCAAATTAAAGTGAAGTTAAATTTCATGTACATCAATACAAAGCCACTTATTATTTGTGCAGTCAGAAATATGTGGGTAGAAGAATTTAAGCTAGAACATCATCAAAAATTTAGCAGGCCATAAAACATAATTCACAACACTGAATAAAATATTATGTTGTGATCAATCTTGCGACAACAAATATCAACCTTTCAGCTCACCTCAGACTGACTTTGCATGGAAGCAAGCAAATCTTTAACATTGGGATCATTTATATCAACTCCAGGAAGCTGTCAAAGCAAATGAACCACAAAACAGAAATCTCGATGTCAGTTTAGTGGTTTTTTTTTTTTTTTTCCATTTCATTATTTAACCTGTGTGTGCATTAAATGATGCTGGATACAATTGAGTTGACCATAACATAAGAGACATGAAGAAATCAGCCTAGAAGACTCACCGAATCCAGGATAGAGGACACAAAAGACTGGTCTGCCAGCAGCTTATTCATATCTGTCTGGTTTGATTGGTCTTTTGTACCCTCCTGCACGGACAATTGAAGGGCTACATGCACCACAACAAATGAGATATACCCAAAAAATTATTTAGAACAGAAGATCCCAAATAAGCTTCACCCATATATAAATTAAGAGAATATTTTATAGGGAAAGTCAGATTATTTATTGCAAACATGTAGAGGAAATAGTACAAAATAGGGTGCACACGGAGCATCGAAAATCAAGAATATTTTGTATGCGAGACCCACAATGAAAACGCTTATGGAGCCTTAATTTATGCAAGCAAAATAAGGCAACGACACTAATAAAAAGAATTTAAGTACATGAAAACAAAGAACAGGAGTGGAGAAGATACAAAAATACTCAGGGGACTCCATGCACTCAGGGCTCTCTCCCCGAGACAAACTACATCCATAAGTTCAAAATTATAATGTTTTGCACAATGTCGTTCATATGACGTTCACCTCGGTGTTGAAGAATGTTATCCCAATTTTTTGGTTTAACAAGGGATTTATACCCACAATTTGTGTAGTTCGTGTGGCGACTGATTGCTCTCTTTTAATTTTTTTTGATAGGTAATCACGTAATTTTATAAATAAACTCAAACGATAATACACAAGGAGTGCATTATCAGTTTAAACAAGATAGAAATGATAAAAAATTCGGCAACCCTTCTATCGGACTACTGGTTATAGCATTAAACCAACTATACAAAGTCAAATAAAATAATTCCCTAAATTACTCCTCCATACATAAAATGACAGGCACTGAATAAACACAAGGGCATCAAAAATGCAAAAACAAGTTCAATTCCAAAAGTTGCAGTGACCCTCCTGCATTAAAAGTATGTAATAAAATAATAAAATTATCTGAACATTTAGCTTCATTTATGAAAACCAAAAATTAATGGCATTAACTTCACTTAAGTAACGATGAACCAATCTTCTATCAATGTTATTGCCTTCAACCATTGCAAGGGATTAAATTGTTGATTCCATATAAAGGAACAGTTACCTATGTCGTATCTTGGACTTCCTCTAGGGGCGCGGTTTAAAAGTGTTAATATTTGGAGTGCTATTGTTGAGAAGGTGGAACGGAGATTAGCAGGGTGGAAGCGTATGTATCTCTCGAAGGGTGGCTGTCTAACTCTCATTAAATCTACTCTATCAAATATCCCTACTTATTTTATGTCACTGTTTCCGATTCCTGTTGCGGTGGCTAACAGATTAGAGAGGATTCAAAGGGAA